CTACTGGTTGTTGCTCAATTCCCCGAAAGCTATTTACCCGACATCACATAGGGTTAGGGTTAGCATTTGATTAGCTGCAGGTATATATTTTTAGCAATTTGTCACCCTTGTGATGTCGGGTAAGTGACCTGTCGGGCAAATAGCTTTCGGGGAATCGTACCGTAATTAGCTTCGGGGAATCGTACCGTAATCATGTACTACGTGTGGGGTAAATAGCTTTCGGGGTAATCATGCTACTACGTGTGAAATTCCTGATATGCGTTCACTTCCCTACTTTGCCACATATATTATCAAATAATTTGCATACACTTCGTTAAATTTTTAATATCACTCCATTCTTAGAATATTGTTATTTACGTTCCTAGCTTTTAGTGCGACGGCAGCTACCTTATTTATATATTAATTTAAATTTTCAACACTAGCGATCTAAAAATACATAAGGAAAAATTAAAAAAAAAACCAGGAAATTTTTACAACCACTTGGCTAAACAAAGCAAGATCTAATACACTAATGTATGTTATACTAAAGAACTGGAATTTAAGAAATCTTTGGAATTGTGAAAAAAATGATGAATTTAAGGAAATTTTAAAAATAATGTAGCAGTAATCGTACAGGTTGCTTTTATAATGCGCAAATTATAAGTCATGCAAATTGTATGTAGCGATAATAGTTTTTGTAATGTCGCAAATCATTAAGAAATGTATAGATAATGGTACAATTGATAAATTCCATGTTATACTAAATTCTTTTATGTATTTTTTAAAAACTCAATGAAAATTCAAAATTTTTTACCGATGCTCGAAAATCTAGAGTTTGTGATCAATCAATGCTCGATTCTATAGTTGGGAACCGAAACCTTTTTTCTTGAGCCTAAAGGTTTCGGGTTTCGGCTATAGTGTTATCGAAACCTAATCAAACCCTAAACTGATACCGAAATCTAAAAATAATACCGAAATCCCAAGCAAATATCGAAATCTCAAATCAATGTTAAAACCCTAAACTAACATGATTTTCCCGAAACCTAAACCACTATCGAAATCCCAAACAGATGCCAAAATCCAAAACTGATACTAAATCCCAAACAGATGCCAAAATCCAAAACTGATACTAAATCCCAAACAGATGCCAAAATCCAAAACTGATACTAAATCCCAAACAGATGCCAAAATCCCAAACTAATACTAAATCCCAAAATCCCAAACTAATACTAAATCCCAAACTTATATTAAATCCTAAATATACAGTATAACACGAGTTACATATATATAAAATTTGCATACATTGATTAGTTTGTATTTGGGATTTAGGTAAAAACTATCAAATCCGAAACTAACTAATACTACAGCCTAAACCTAAAGGGTTTAGGAAGGTTCGGATTTCGGTTCCAATCTCTTACTTTTTTTAAAGCATTTTTTTTTAATTTTAAAGTATTTTTTAAAGTTTTTTTTTTTTTTGAAGTATTTTTTTATAAGTATTTTTTTAAAGTATTTTTTTTTTAAAGTATTTTTTTTAAAGCATATCTTTAAAGCATTTTTTAAAGCATATCTTTAAAGCATTTTTTAAAGCATATCTTTAAAGCATTTTTTAAAGCATTTTTTTTTTTAAAGCATTTTTTTTTAAAGCATTTCTTTTAAAAAAACAATACAATGATTATTTAACCGTAATAAAAAAACTAGTTGACTGTTAAACTTTGTTATTACGCATATATATGAAGAATTAATGATTAATATTCGCCTACCTATACTAAAGTTCACCCAGCCATACTAGATATCAATATGATCCAAAATATTTATTGCTTTAGCAAAGCCAATCTTTTTTCAAAATGTATTACGTATTAAAACACAAGTTGAATAATTGTTAAAGCCACAAATTTTTTTCGTAAATTTAAATTTCGTAAAGTAGCGCTAGGTTGCGATTATTTCTTTACAAAATATATATGTCAAAAATGGATGGACGTTGGTGTGGGTTGTAAGTGTTTTTTATACGGTTTTCATATATTTCACATATCCCATATGAATTATATTATAAGTCTTCTACCATATCAACAAATTGTCTAGAATACCCCGTTTTTCTTCTCGCTATGACACTATTACTCTAGCAGCAATCAGTTTTGTGAGTATTATACAGTAATTTACGAAAATTGTTATTTAAAATTTTTGATTCCCTTGAATCTTTGTTATACGTACCGTATATGTATGTAATTTTGTACGTATCGATATCGATATAGCTTATTTCCTCATGGTTTGCGGTCATTTATCTAGCAAAACCAGAAGGTATGTATAATTTTTGTAACATTTATACGTATATTAAATATGGGTGTAATTTTTAATATTCTATATGTACGTATACTATCGTTATTAGATTATGTACCTGATATGTCAAGGCGACTTACTTTGATATTTGGTATAGCATTCATTATCATGGCATTAGTCTGCTCATTTGGAATCGCATGTTCATTTTTTGTTAGCATAAATTTTAAATATTTAATTTTGTGTACGTACGTATTCACATTTTCCATATACAATATATATTAATTAATATATAATTTATTTAAAATAGGAAATGCCAACATCTGTTCGTGTCTTTTCTTACATATTATGGGGTTTTGTCATAGTCAATATAATTATTGCTATAATTGTTGTTGTTAATATAATTCAGAATAGACAGCATGAGATTGATAACTGTATCCAAGATTTACAAAAACTATCGGGTAGTAATAGTATCGATACAAATGCGTCACTAGAAAATTGTACCCATTACAAGACCATGTTTATTATACGAAATGTTGTTGTAGAAATATTATTAATATTATTCGGTGTACGTAAGTGTTTGTATATGTTTTTCAAATTTGGACATATTAATAATTTCAGTGCTCTTTTTTTCGCAGGTACTTTTTGCTAGAGTTTCATCTGTTTATGCTCTACAACTTGAAACTCGAAAACGTAGACGAATAGTACCAGCAACTAGCCTGACTACAGTTGCGAGTATTTCTACCACAGATTTTAATCCACATGCTACCATTAATCCGTATGCTACTGTTAATCCGTATGCTACCGTAAATGACCATACAGACAGCGCGAGTATGTTACATTCCACCGATTAAAAAACTTCTATACTCGGGGATATATTACTTGGAAGAGGGTATAGTGATGGGCGGATTTCTTCTTTTAAAATATAAATTACTAATCAAGAGATCCGGGTCTCTTACACTCTCTTAACCCTGGTTTAGACTCGTAAAATATTACATTATTTTTTTTATGTATTCACAGACTTTAGACAAAAAAGAAAAAATCTAATAATATTTCAGGACTGATATTATATACTGTATATTCACCTATCTTTTAAATAAATATGGTTTGTAATTCATCATTTCTGACGGTAAAAAATTATATTCCATATAGGCAAAATAACTATTGTAACTAGCTTATAACCTGGTTTAGGTTTTTTCTGATTTTCATCTAATATAAATGTAAAAAAAAAATACAGCATTAACAATCTAGTCTACAGTCAAGTTATTTAAATGTTAGAATGTATTTGTGTGAAAAAACGTTATTTTAAGACACAATTTAAAAAGAGCTATATAATAATTAGATGTCGTTTCAAATATCATATAACTACCGGACGTTACTTCGAGATAATTTAAAGAGAACTTAGCCGAATGTGGGTAATTATTTTTTAAAAATATTTGGCTAAATTAATTAATTCAAATTGTGTCATAAAATACTATTTGTCGTCTCTATCGGTGTTTCTGAGATAAGATGTTATGCTAAGAAGTACGAAATAACACACGTTAACATTATATTGAGACATGCAATTTAGAGAGCTAATAATTAATAATTTAACTGAATGCGAACTATCGCTACGTACGTACGTACATATAATTTTTTATTAATAATAATCTTTGACAAATTAATTATTTACGTACCGATACTCTTAAAATGGGATCTGGTGTTACTATGCTTGTGTAATACTTCAGTGACATGAATAAATGGCAGGATACGTCAGATTACGCTCGTTAACAAAATGTCCTTAACAGCGAGATTCCAAAGCCTACTAGAGCACCCTGCAGGTATTTGCCGTTAAAGTTACAACCTTTAAGTTGCAATGCCTGTAAAAAACAATTATTGCACGCCCACGAATACCATTTTGCTTTGAAACTGAATAATCTTTTTGCTAATTGTTTTGTAGGACCGAAAACCGTTTTTTTCTGGGCTCCAATGATGAAATGGGTAAACGCCTATGTTATATAAAATTATTTTTTTTGTTCTCATACACCACTTTCTGAGGTCTCAGGGACTAAATTCAGTTAATAACTACATTCATATTTAGGCGTTAGTCATTGCTGGCTTGAGTGATCTACAACGTCCCGCGGAAAAATTATCTGTGTCTCAAAGTGTTGGTATGTGTTTATTCTTTTTCTCTCATTATTTTCAACATTTATATCTTTAGTTTTCTAATAGCTCTTTTTTGCGCTAATAAATCAACAGCCCTTACGGCTACTGGTCTAATTTGGTCTAGATACTCTACTCAAATTATTCCTAAAAATTATGCGTTACTGTCAGTAAATATATTTGTCGGAGGTACCGGAATAACGCAATTGTTTAGAATATGGAAGTAAGTGTTGATTTTAACCTTAAGAATTAGGTTTCTTTTGAGAGTTATACTAATTATTTTTACTTTTTTACAGCTACCGCCGGAAGCTGCCACCAAACACGTCATAATTTACATTAAAAAAATTTCTATTTTTAAGGCCACACAAATTTAATTACTTTTAAACAGACCTGACCGGCTTTTTATTTTTTTAAAAAAAATTCATATATAAAAAAATTTTATAAAATTTTACATAAAAAATTCGACCCAGTCGGGTTATGAAAATCAATTAATTAATTTTACATGGCCTAATGAATATTTAGAAAAATTCATTAATATGTATTAAGACAGACTCATTTAAACCACCTATATAATTTATTTTAAAAAGAAAATTGAAACCATTGTTAGCCTAAGAAATCCATCCATTTTGCCAAGAAATGGCTGTAAATTTATGAGTCTTAGATTGCCCTTCTGCTTTTTCATCATCTTCAGAACGAACAAGTCTATCCAATGTTTGTTCAAAATTTTCTGGTGAATTTTGAGGGTCACAAAAAAATCTTGCTACAAAAGAATATTTCCACATAATTTGCTGTTTTATATTCTTTTTTTCTAACTCCCATTGAAATTTATCAACAATTGTAAAATCACCATTGGTTTTATTAAGATGTTGACAGAGTTGAACAGTCTGCTGGTCATCTACCATGTAATCTGAGAGTATCCATCTTATAACTTTTGGAGAATAAAGGTTGTATTTTTGGATATCTTTTTGTAAAGTAATATGATTAAGAAGTGTATATCGAGAATGATAAATTTTAGAATGGAAATCAGTTGGAAGGATTTTAGTAGTAGTTCCACCAATAAGCCAAGAAGTATGAACTTGTAAGAAATCAACATTAAAAGAAGAAATATGAGATGGCTGATCGAAATATTCTATATCAGGAATGTCTTCTAAGGATAAAACAACTGAATCTTTAAGATGACATTTTAAAATCATGTCAATATCTCCTATATAAGTAGAAATTTCTTCACCAGCGCTGGGCGTTTCTTCTAAATAATAATATTTTTGAACAGCTTCAACGTATTCTCGATGAAATGTAAAATTTGCATATCTACGCATTGCATCTAAATTCACATCTTTTGAAGTAGAATTCGATGAAATATCTATACCATTATGTCTTTTTGCATCAACACCTATCCATTCACGAGATAAAATTTTAACTTGACGTAAATGACGTGGATTACAATAAATTGGTTTTGAATTAGCTATAGGTTTGAAGGTAAAAATTCTAGTTTCAGGATCGAAAGCGACACATTCAAGTGCGATAGAAAACTTGGGATCTTTAGCTTTTGAAGAAGGGCCAAGTCTAACTAAAACTTTAGAATCCGTAAAAGAAAGTCGTTGTTTAATGGCATGTTCATGTATAGAATACCAATCTCGATTTACGCCTCGTAATAAATAAATCTGCTTGATAGGAAAGTTAGCTAACACGTGTTGAATAACATCGTTCGGGAGTGGTGGTGACATATTCTAATATAGGCTTTGAAATAATATCGATATAAAGGAAATACTGTATATTACAGAGTAAAAGTTGGTATAGTGGATGCCACTTAAAGTCAACATATTTTATATATAGGCGCCAATTTTTTAGCTGTTGTGCAACAATTTAAATTTTGTTATGTTTTTTATATATAAGTGTCAAAATTTTAAATTTAAAATTGTACGTAGTCCTTGAATTTTATGCCACGTTGGTGTTGCACGCACGTACAGTACGTACGTACGTGTAAGTCGTAAATTAAACCACCAAAAATTTTCGGTAGCAACTTTAAATCATGATTGGATACTTTTTCGTTTGATTTTTTTTAAAAAAAATTTGAGCAAGGATTTGTTGAATTAACTTTAGGGTTAAAGTTAGGTTTTAGGTAGTTATATATATACTGTATATGCAAAATTGCCTTCCCTACATTTTTGCTTAGCCTACCCAAGGTAGGTTTAGACTAAATTCTATAATTTGATTGGTTTTTAGTCACATGATTTATCTCCGCTTATTACAGTATTAAGGATTGACCACATAAAAATTGGTTCGTAATGCCAGGCTGAATTATCTTAATGCCGGCTGAATTAACACCCATGGATGTTATTTCGGGACACATTTTTTGAAGGGAGCTGATAATTAACTTAGGGTGTTCTTAAGCATCTCAATCAATCAATTAAATAATGATCATGATAACGCTCACACATCTCAGTCAATGACGACATTTATAGAATTAAATGCTTGAGCATACTCTCTGTTTTTCGTGATCTACGTTATGCCACCTAAAACACTTTAAAAAATTTTCTACTCAACTGGTTGCCGAAACTTTAACTTCGGCTGCGTCGGTTTTCCTTTAATGATTTTATCGATTTAAATCTTTTGTTGCAGCAACAGAATAATCATTAGCGAAAGTTGCATTACAGCAACAAGAAATAAAAAAAAATTTTCTTACGAATATTAATATTAATATTTAAGTTTTATTGAACAAAAATGAATAGCAGTATTCATTACGATTTGATTAAAGGTTAAAAGATGGGTTGTATTTATTACGTTTAAAAATTGAAGTGACTATTTTTTCATATCGGTTAGAAATTGCTGAGAATTTATTGTTTATTATTTTTGATATGTAAAAAATTAGAAGTAATGCTTGAGCGACCTTTATCAATGGTAAATTTTTGGAGAAAAAAGGTGGTTTGTATCTCGCTGATTTGTTTATCGAAATGGTAACTCACTTGGTTAATTTATTCAATTTCCGACTAACTAAAATTTGCCTCCGATCCATTGAGCGAGGTGCTTGAGAACACCCTTAGCCGAGCTCTCTTCAAATTATTTGTCCCGAAATTAACACGCAAATACGGTAAATATTTATATGTATAATGCATATATATTTGTTATTTATATAAAATATATAATATAAGGTTAATTCTAACAGCTAATTACGTATTCAAAATATTTTCCTGATAGAAACCCTTCAAATTAGGATTTAGAGTAGAAGTTTAACATAATTTATATATGTTACGAGTCAAGTTGGTTTTAAATTGAGCTAAACTTGACCGGGTCAAAATGACCTCTAGCAGAATTTTAGAGTTAGTGCGAATCAGAATTATGTTGATACCGGCCGTGGTTTTTTAATTGATTAATTTGATTCGGGTCAAGTTTAACTCAACCAATTTGATCTATAATATATATACAGTATTTACAATATAAAATTTAAGGGTAGGGTGAACGTAGATCATTTTTAATAGTAATCACATTGCAAATCATATGATATCATATGATTTACATTGATTTGACCAATCAGAATTGTAAACAATAGAAATCCGACCAATAAGAATTAGTAATTTTTGTGTTACCTAGGCAAATTTCAATCAACCTAGGAGAATTTAACGATATATAGAGGTAGATTTTTTTTAAATGATATAAGGACCAAAACTTTTATTATCATAAAGAAAAGGTTTTAATCTATATATTATGAAGTTTTGGTAAAGTTTAGTTGCGGCCTTAAAAACTTTTACTAATAGCATATGCTCAATTTTTGTATAAAAAAATTTTAGCACGTGAGATTATATGACAAATGATCTACGTTCACCCTACCCTTAATATTCTTAATATTAATACTCATCTTATATAATATTATATTGTTGTTTCCTTATAAATAGTGACCCTTAACATCACATAACTATTGACTCATTTAATTACAAGAATGTAACTTGATTATTTATTTAATCGATTACTGTAGATATAATTAAGTGACCTGATTTTAGATTAGTTACATAATACCATGTGCTTAAGGCAGTCAGAAAATGTGTACTAGGTAGTAACCTAGCCATGGTGAAAAAAAATGTTTGAATTATGTGTTGTAGATCAGATTCTGCAAATTTCTAATAGATGGTTATTAGGTGATTCAACATAATTGATCAACCAATTATATGCATTTTGGTCATACGTTAACTTTGATAAATTTTTTCGCACTGTAATATAGCAATAGTAAAGCAATAGAGAGCATAGTATAATAATTTTCTCAAGCAATTCTAAATTATTTAAATTTATTCGAAGCTTACTTAAGTGACTAATAATAAGAATGATTATGACTTCCAGACTTTTTTTTAAATTTAAATACTTGGATTTTTTTCTTTTAATTCGAATATTTAAATTTTATTCTTTTATTAGAATTTTAGAATTTTAGAATTTTACTATACTACAAATATATATAAACCCGAGTCAAGAACTTTATTATTAGCATAACCAAAAGGCGTGTTTTCTATTTTTTGGTTCCCATGTACTTTGTTGTTTGCGAGATTGTAATACTACTTCACATTTATCAATTTTCTTTAAAAAAGACATCAACAGGTTATTAAAATTATTTATAAAATTATTATTATCAATTTCTCGCTCATATAGAGCTAATGCGATATCAAATTTTTTTTTGTATTGGACAAGTATTTCTCGTCTTTTATCCAAGGTATTAGATGTAATACAATTCACAATTTCTAATGTATTTTATAAATCATTTATAATGGAGCTATCCTTGCTAGAAGAATTATCATCAGCTATTGTTATTATAGGTCTAGTCCAAAGATTATTTATCAGTGCAATAGCCGGTACATTGTCACTATTAAAAGTAAGTAGTAGATAATCATGGCATCATTCTGTCTTTGAAAAAATATAAAAAAATTGTTCACCATTTACTTCCTTTTTTTTATTAATTAAATGTTTGCATATAAGATAGCAACTGTATAAATAGGATGGGCAGGAACATATCCAGCTATCTATATCAATATGATATCTCTTATCCATACCATCTTGAATAATTGCTTCCCAGCTTTAGTCCATTCTTTTTTAAATTCATACTACCATGCTGGAAAAGTTCTATTTCTATTATACTGAGCCAGTTTTATTTCAAAGTCAGGTATAAGTTGTTCTACTATTATTTGGTAAGTTAATCTACACATGGTCTGTTGTAGTTATATTTATAGTTATACTTGAGAACTCGCCAATAGCTCTCTGTAATCATAGTGATACGTGCAAATGGAATAGCTAAGGGATATGAAGAATGTGCAAATAGGTTCTAGTCTTTTGCATTGTACCAGTTTGTCCACAGATAGCACTATAATTTGGCAAGTTTATATGAATAGCAAAATTGATATACTTTATGAACACAAAAATAGTATATTTCTTTTGTAGTCATAAATGAATTCTTGAAGATAGAAATAAGTGGGTGCATATTGGTGTGTCTTTTAACCATTTCTAATAGTTCTCTAATTAGGTTATTTAGACAAAAAGGATCTATATTATTTTGAATCCATGATGAATCTACGAATTCAAACATATTCTAAACTTCTAATACTTTGGATGTTGAGTATATATTTGATTTGAATTTTTTATTTTTTTGTCAATAGCATTTTCAAGATGCCAGTAACAAAGCTAAATGTTGGCTGTTCACGACCAAGCTTTACTAATTGCTGTGATTTCTCCTGCATCTTTGTCTGTTAAGACAAATACTGGTTGTAGTTCTTCCTAACAAAGACAATTAAAAAATAGTCATAATGCTTCAACCTATATCTTAACAATATTAGCTAGATCATACATAGCCTCTTCAGTAGGATTAGATGTAGAAAGATATATGTATACTATTGGCATATCATATCCTCTACAATTTACATTAATAGCAAAAAGTTCAAACCATCCTTGATTAGTTTTGAATGTAGAGTCTGTTATAATTTCAGTAATATTGTTAGTACCAATATGTTTGAACAGTGGCATTAGAAATTCTAAAAATCATACAAAGTTATTTTCTAAATAGGTAACAACTTTAAATTCTTTGTTTATAAACTCAAATTTTTCAAGATATAGTTTGGCCAATAGAAGTTGGTTATTCTGATTCATTAGATAAGTATTTTTGTTATATACTGTTATCTAGTAATATATTTGTTCTAATATATAAATTTCTGGATTAATCAAATTGTTTTTATATAAACGATGATATATTTCTGTATTTTGTAAATTTAATGTTATATTATTTTGTATCCACTTTCTAGCCTTTATTAGAAATTCAATTAGCCGATAAGTTGGTTTTATATGTGCTATTTTATGTTCTTCTTCAATAGAAGTATATTGTTTTTCTAGAATTATAATGAGTTTAATATTTTCCATACAGTCAAATCTTTCTATAGATGTATGAGCTTCACTTTATCTCTTAAGTGGCTGATTATCAGATCATTGCCAAGCTCTATTATTTTGCATTATGCAACCAAGATATATAGTAGCAAACCCTGAAAATATTTTTTTTTAATATTGAGATATACTTTGCATATTGTTTAATAATATTCAGAACCGGACTCAAGTAAAACAATAAGCATTTTTGCAAGTTGACAGAATTTATTTTCAATTGCTTTCAAGTCTGATACATTAGTTAAATTTTGTTGATCTAGAAAAGCTATGATAAGGTCTTGTTCTAATTCAATTTCAAAAGCAAAATTTGTAGGTTCATTAGATATTTCAGATTCTTCAAACAACTAACTTATATGTTCATATACTTTATTTAAATCATATTGAAGTATATGATTGTCATTATTTAGTATATTATAGAGACCTTTATTAATTGTTATATCTAAAAACTCTTTGTTAGAACTATTATTTTCTAAAAGCAATTCAAGATTATTAGCATTATTTGAGGTGTTACTACTAGAAGATAAGTTTATATTATTATTTTTTTTTTCAGGCATTTATTTTATAAATTTATAGAGCATTGGTTGCAAGTAGCACATTCATATAGCTTGTTATTACTGGAAAGGCGGCAAAACTCTGCTGTCTCTTTCATTTTGTAACAACTATTATATTTCTTTTTAGTGATACCTTGGATGGAAAAATCTGGTAAATAGTTATAGCTTTATATGAATATTTTTGTTATAAATTTTAATGATAGGTCAATTTGAATAAATATAAATTTAAATAAGCTAATATATAACTATTGTTTGAGATGATGCTGAAATCAGATGATGCTAAAATTTTAATCTATTTTATTATGTAAAATTAAAAATTTTTTGGAGTGTTTGCCTTTTTTCATAGTTCAATTAGAAGTTAGAGTTAGTGTTTATAATAAAAGAGTATAGGTAAATTTTTGTAGGATTAATTTTTCAAATTAAGATCTCAAATTTCAATATTATCCAATTACAGCATTATCTAATGACTATTAATTCAAAAATATATATTTTATTTATTTATATGTATTATAATATCTGAATATTTCACTTTTATTTTATTAATTATAGAATTGATATTTTTTACCTTCTAATGAATTATTTATATCCATTTTATCTTGTATCAAATTGAGACTTTTAAAGTAAGTAAATTGAAATTTAAGATACTATCTTAAAGATAAATTTTGTTTTTTGCCAAATACTTAATAATTAATATTATTTAATAAATAATAATTAAGATATTAAATTCGCGATATAAAATTCACAAGTTCTATCATTTTTGATACTAGATTTATTTTTAAAAAATAACTAAATTTTTGATGAAATTTTTAGATATTAATAAATTTGATTTTTTTTATTTATCTTTTGATCCTTATATATCTGTTATTTAATTAAAAAAATTGAAAAAATAAATTATCTAATTTATTTTTCTATTTTCATATTAGCTTTGCTTTTTTAACATTTACTATTTGTTTTTTATTTTTATTATTGATGTTTATACAAACTTATAATATCACTAATGATTATTATTAAATATAATTTGCTATTCTTTAAAACTGCATCAAACTTATAAGATATTGAATACCAGACATTGTAAGTTTTATTTTTATTTTTATATATTTGTACCTTCATTTTGTATTTATTTCTTAAACTGTTTTGCAGGCAAATTTTGCCTGATCAAAATTGTTTTTGCTAGAACAAGTTACGTAAATAACTATATCAACCTTAGTAATATGAATACTGAGCATACTACTTAGATATAACTTTTAGCTAATACTACTTTTAACTATTTTGAATAATGTTTTGCTTTTATTTTTTCTTTAGTTTTGTGAATAGCCTTTACAAAATCAAAGTTTATACTTTACTTGAGATGCTCCTGGATGCGCTGTTTATTAAAATTTTACTAGTTTAAAATTCTAATATCTGACAATTCTAAAGAGCATTTAAATATATAACTTTAATGGAGGTAAATATGTACAATTATTGGATAAATTTTTGCAAGCAAATTTATCTGAATCAGCTTATAGTTTAAGGGATAATACAAATACTATAATATCTCTAAGAAATTGCAATTTGCCATTTTTGAAACTATGAGTTTTTATTTTTATTTGAAACTACAGATAAGTTTCTTTTATTTCTTATTTTATTTATTGTCATTTATAATTGTAATAATGCAACCTATTCGCCAGTTTAAAATCAAATTAAAATTTATTATAACTTTTTAAAATTTTATCTATTTACACTTTACTTTGTGATCAAAACAATAGGTATATTCATGCATGTTTTATTTTTTATATATAATTGTGTTAATACTACGTATGTACTCTAAAACTAAATCAAAATTTATTACAACTTTTCTAAATTTAGTTATTTACATCTTATTTTTGTGGCTATCGCCACTATAGGCATATTAATGCATGTTTCATTTGAATTTTTAGCAATTACATTTCTTTAATTATGGGTAGTTTTTATAAGACTTGATTGGCAAGATTTGCATAACTCAATATAACTCAAATTGAACTTACACCTGATATCAAAGCAAAATATCGATATACAGCATTAGAAAACTTATCGTTATAAGGTATAATTAATTTATAATGAATTAACTTAAAATAATATAAAAAAAATGAAATAAAAATAAAAACAAAAATAAATACTAATGTAAAAGAAACAAACTAACGAATTTATATGTACTCAATTTGTGGCAATAAATAGTAGTCATTTATATTAAATATTCTAATTAAATCGGTTAATATAATTAAAATAATGGATACTTTTTTCTACATTAAAATGAAAATTTTCTAGCCTTACAAAATAGTTTAATGAGTTTAGTAACTTTGATATTTAAGAATTTTTGAGAGTTTTATTATACTATAAATCTAATTTTTTAAAATCGAAATTGATCAACATTTTTTATGTTCAAAAACTCAATTTGATTGGTTGGCTAGGTATTACCGCAACATGCATTGATTATCCAATAAAAACTCATCAGATCTGATCTACAACACATTTTTCTTCACCATGGCTAGGGTACTATGTACCAGGTTGGTGACATAGTTCTTCTGATCTACGAATCATCTTTCAAGATTAGGTGTAACATAACACAATTACGAAGATTCAAAACATATGTTCGTTCTGCCAAAAATCGCTCATAACTCAAAAATAAGCATAAGAAACCACCTTTGTGCTCTAACAAAAAGTTTTCGTTGGACAATTTTACATTAAAACTACTTCCCTCTAGTTCTTAACCTGACCCTAACCCTAACCTTAACGAATTTTAAGAATTTTGTCTGCGCCACCAACCTGGTACACATTTTCAAATTGCGTGCTTAAGTTAATACTGTAACCGGTTATATTTAGTTCTATTACTATTACAAAGAACATATGAGTTAACTATTGGAGTTAAATTGTGCCGATAGTTCTATAAGCTCTCCCAACAATAGTAATAATAGTATAGTAATTTATTTAGTGATTGAAAAAAAGATCCTGTCCAGGATCTTATCAAACATCTGGTATACTATAGTAAAAATGAATTTAGTATTAGTGTTCAGGTCTGTTATATTATATCACTTTATAAAATACAGTCATGCTCCTATATAATCACCTCCTCTATAATCTCATCATATAAAACCTCTCTATATATCACATTTTTATTTAAAATAATTTAATATTAAATATATAAAAAAATACCTTTATAAAAGCACAACCTTTTTATAATCACATTTTTAAAAAGTTCTTAAGTCAAAAATGTGTGATTATATGGGAACATGACTGCATATATGGGTCTAATTTACGGTGTCTATATAAAAAAGGATCTTGTATATAACATAGTACTAAATTTTTATTCTGACCCGGGTTTGACAGGTAATCTTTGTATCTAGGTAGACCCGCCTGACTACCTGGGTGACCCGCAGGTCTACCCATCGGGTAACTCGGGTTGTACTTTTTAAGGGCCACGTAAAAATTTGGAAATTATTTATACAAATTTGGAAATCATATAAATAAAATCCAAATTTTATGTGGCCTCAATCACTAATTCTGTCTAAACTTCATACTTAAAAATGCAATAAATATTGTAAAACTTAATATGTAATAACATAATATAACTAATAAAGTTCAAAGACAAGACTTACCTTAATAACAAAAAAAATTTCTAAATAATGATAATAACAACATCTAACTAATAAATTTATAAATTTATAAACATATAGAATTCTAAGTCAAGAAATTATAGTATTTGATTTGTAGTATTTGAATCCATTATTGAAATAGTTAATAAGAGTAATATAGAAAATTAGAGTACTATATTACTAATGAATTCTTGAATAGAACTATAGTACTTATTTGAGAAATCAATTCATGATCTTATTACCCCTAATTACTCAGACCAAACTCATATACATCTTGATCGAAGTGCCTTATTTACTAGGGTTTATTGTTATGTAAGTGCACACTCTTGGGACTGAACTTTAATGACGTGCACTTAGAGAACAATAAGAAAAGTGCATTTATAGAGGTCATGTATATATTTGGGCCTGAATTTAAGCGTGCATTTAGAGAGGGTGTGCACTTATGGAAGGTGTGCACTTATAGAAGTTATGCACTTATAGAAGGTGTGCACTTATAGAAAGTGCACTTATGGAGGGTTCACTGTATTTAGTTCTTATTGGCCAGTAGTGGTAGACTAACACGTGAATTAATTTAATTAACTACGTACCTTATTTGACCCGGGTTATCAATATCTGACTTGAATTTTATCGACCTGAGTCAATATTGGTGGCCCGGATAATATCTCTAATTAAGACAAAAAAATAAATGTGACGAATCACGAGTAAAATCAAAACCAAGATGTGATTTATCAGTAAAACAAGAAAACATCACAATGTGTCAAATAAATTAGTACTTTTATTAAAGAAACTGTAATTACTAGTTACATGCACAATATCAATATATTAAAATACCATTAAAATTGTAAACTATCTTCTATAAAGGTTAATTCAATGAAACCTCTCTAAATGCAATCTCTCAAAGTGTAACATTAAACTTTCGCCCAAATATATTCTTGGTCACTATAAATATAAATTTTCTGTTTGTTCTCTAAATACACATTTCAAAAAATCCGATCTCAGCAAATAGCAATTAAACACGTATTTACTACATCATTTTTCTCATTTCATCGTCAATTATTATTCTATTATCCTAATACCCATTATTAAGGGCATCAATTTTTACAAACTTGGAAACGAATACAATCATCAATTGGTCCTCTATCACCACTTGCTAAATTAACACCAGCATGAGCTCTTGAAGTTGTATATGTACAAGCTCTGTAAATTCCTTCATCAGCTAATCCAGGAATAGGAACTTGATAAGTAAAAGTTGAATTTGGAGGATAATTTAACGGGGTAAAAAAGGCAAAAGTTTTTGGATCAGGTACATTATTTTTTGAAGGTATTTTTTGTATAGTAATATGAAAATGGCCGATAATGTCTCCATTGGTATTAATTTCTTGTGGAAATTTGAGAAATTCTGTGTCTTTATTGGAAAATTGACCAGCTTCAAAATTCGTGTATTTAAATTCAATAATAAAACTTTTATTAAAAGGAATAACACAATTATTATCTGGCTTTGTAATTAAAACAGAAGCAAAATGGTCGGATGATGGAACTGATCCAATTTGCGTACTAGAGCAAAATCCCGTAAGTGATCAGATGAAAAATTCGGTTCTGGTAACGTAGAATTTTGGCAAAAATCTGGGCAAGTTTTGTCCCTTTTCACCAACAAGTTTTTTTTAACATTATTGGGAATTGCATGAACTGAACAAATTGTTAAAACGAGGAAAATGCAAAATATAAGAAATTTGTTTAGAATCGACATTATTTAATGATGGTGTTTAGAAAGGAATTATTATTTTTGCAATGTTTACTTTGATTTAATGATAGAGTTAAGAAAGGGATTACTGGAGTCTTTATATACTTTTTGCAATGTTTATTTAGGTATAGAAAAAAGATCTATGCATTAACAATTGCTAAAATAATTTAAACCTCCACGATAAGGATATATCATAAATAAATCTAATTACTCATAATAATATACCGTTTTGTAATTTTGTTCACAAGGGGATTAGTTTATCATAATCTGCAGTGTGGCATTATAGAATCTCTACAGTGACAGTAATTAGAGGGGTTGGAATGTATACGAGTCTTTATTGCTATTTGCATAGTAATCATCTTTTAGGAAACTCTGCGTCGTCAGATAATGATAAATAAAGCTGCACTGTATTCTAATTATATGCATAGTAACTACATAGCATCTATATGTGCTGCCGTCAATAGAAAACAAACAGATTGGCATTTAAAAAATTTAATACTTTAATACAGTAATATTAACAGCTCATATATCGACAAATTTTAAAGTTATTTTTAATGAATCAATGACCAAAATAAAGCTTGCACAGGTCAAACATATGCAATTCGACCTTCTATATTTTATAAAAATTTGAAGGGGAATTGGCATCTGATTTATAGTCGATAGTTAAAGGTATAGTCGATAGTTAGAAAATTTATAATTGAAAAAATTTTTTGGTGCAAAGTATACAAGTTTGCAAAAAATTTTCACAAATAAGAGCATATATAATAAATTAAATATTAATTTATATTTTTTTTATTAAAAATATTATGATACTATCATTTCTAAATAACTATACTAATACCAAGAAACTAGAATAATATGAAAAAATCAAAATACTAAATAACTAGAGCGATATCAAAAAACCAGAACATCAAGAAACTAGACTAGTACCAAGAAACTAGAATGACATAAAGAACTAGAAACATCATCAAGAAAACACTAATAAAAAGAAAAGGTAAACAGATTAGTAAAAGGAAAGACAAATGATAAAAAAGCTAAAAAAAATAAGTATATATCAGTATATACTTATATCGATCTGGTAAAAAAAAATAAAGAAGAATGAAAAAAAAGATTAAAAAAAAAAACAGGACAAAAAAAGATCGCATTATTGTATGTTCCAGATCATAGATTTCAAACAATATGGTTGAAAACAAACCCTGCATATTATTATTATGTATTGTTAAATCCAGGAACTATATAGACGATTTTAGATTTTTTTTAGGTCGATATTTATTAATATTCATTCAGATAAGTCGATTTTCATAGAATTATCCAGGGCGACCACCAAAAACGCCGGTGACATTGATTGTCATGCCGCAGCAGCATACGTCGATCGTGGCGCAGCAATAGTATATATAAGTATTATACGATTTGCCGTTAACGACAAACTCTTCCACGTTTTCTTTTCCAACTCAATCGACCTAG